TCCCAAGAGTATTTGAGATGATCAAGCTGATAAAGTCACTCGACTACACGCCAAGATCGATTGCGCCGCTCTCAATGCAATAATTATTATTATTTTTATACTTTCCATGTCTCCCAAGCTTAAAAGACCACAACCGGCTTCACATTCCATTTTATTTTATTCTCCGCAAATATACGCCAATCTTTATCATTCCGACTCAAACAGGATACATATAACCGTATATGCATTTCATTAAATACCATTACATGCATACAAAGAAAAGGTAAAAAATTATGTCAGTCGCTGTTTATTTAACCAATTAATTCTCCTTTTGATTTATTCCGCTTTAAAATTAGCTACCTGCTTGAATTATTATAAGATGATGGAGAATTGTCGGAAAAGCTTTTGAGACCAGTGTTTCGAATCGCCCAGAGAGTGATCTTCAAGATAAGATTACTTATTTTTATTGAAAAAAAAAATCACCAGTCTGCTAAAATTGATAATAAATTTAAATATCCTCTTTTTTTAAATTTCTTTTCACTGTAATTTTTAAAACAAATTTTTATCTGCCATCAATTTTAATTATAAAAAAAAAAAATTATTTACTAAAAGTAATAAAGTTTTTGATTAAAGCTGGCAAAATCATCCCATATTTATTTTAAAATTCATTACAAAGGTGTCTGATTATTTAACTTATTTATTTGCGAGTGTTATTGAAGATTTTTTAATTTAGTTAGAATTTAAAATTTTAATATTTTATGTAATTACTTGAAGGTGTAATTGAAATTTTAAAAAAATAAATAAAAATAATTGGTAACTTTCCAACTTGTACAGGACGATTTTTTCAGCAGAAATATACTACAAAATATTATTGGAGATCAATAATTAATAGATGAATTTATCAATAAGAACTACCTAATAGTGGGGTAAAAACTGCTCGTAAAAAATAAACCACAATTTTTTTCCCAATAAATATAAATAAAATAATCATCCCTTCAAAAAAAAGAAGGGTTTGTTATATTCGTCACGTGCATGGTGTGCATTATTCCGAGTTGAAGTGTACCCACAACGTCTATGCAAAGAGATCCGTTTTGTACGTTAGAGGAGAGTGAGTCTGAGCACTCTGGTAACTTTCTATCTCTTTCATTTCTTCTCTTGTTGTGCTCGGTGACTTTATTTTTATACGGCGCGTGCGACATATACAAAATTAATTAAAGTCTGGAGATCGAGGCGTAGGGTTGGAGTAAAACAGTGATTGTGCCTCCTCTTCCCCTCCTTTTTGTGGCCTCTTGTTTCTTGCAAGGGACGGGTAGGACATACTTTAAGGGAAGTTGATAGTGTGTTGGAGAACCAAGAGTAGGAAGGTATTGTAACTTTTTTTCTTTCATTCTCCTTCCTACTTTCTCCATGGTTCTCTTACTAACCAACATCATTGTGGTCGTTCAAGCACCCGAGGCAAACCTCGCCTTGTTAAGAATTAATCACTTTCTAGCCGCCGAGATGGATGGATACGTAGTGGATGGGCCGCAGGGTGCCGCGTTATTTTAATTGTAAGCAAATTATACTGAGAATGAGGCCTCATCTCTCGTCTCAGGTTCTCTCTTACTCTACAACTACATCAGAGACTCACCTACTCAACTGCTGTCATTATTATTATAATTATTATTTTTTCATTATTTCTCATTGCAAGCTTAACGTACAATTGATATCACTTCCGCTCTTTACTTTCTTCCTTTGTGTTGTGGTGTCTAATTTTTTTCTCATTACCTCGTTATTTTATTTCTCGTCGCTGGTAATTACACTTGTCAGAGTCATTTGAATTAAATTAACGGGTGTTATTGTTTGATTGAATTTTATTCTTCCACTAGATAACTCGTAATTTTAACTCCAAGATTACTTTCAAAAGCTTTTTCGATCATTTTATGAGCTTTTGAAAAATAATAAGTCGACTTCTTGAGACATCAAATTAAATCATACATATTTAACTTTCATTACTTACCTAAAAAAAATTTTCTTATTATTGTAAATATTTTTTAATTTATTTACCTTATCTTAGATAATTTTAAATCATCTCCTAATGAGATAAAATGATAGAAAAAATTTTATAATAAAAAATTTCACAACTCACCACTTGATATAACGAAGTCTACAATTAAAATGTCTGTTTCATTACTTCACAATCTTCACGTCAAAGTATATCGCACGGTTGTCAATAAGACTTGGTGATGGTGGTGGTGGTAGATGAGACAAGACAACGAGATAGTTGAAGAGTAAGAGTAAAGAGAGCATGACAGCAAAATTTCGCCCTACGAATTTTTGCTCGAGGTGACACATAGGACGATCGCATGATAGAAGAAGAAATAGAAGATCTAAAGCTTTGAAACACGTCAACGTCGTCGTCCCTCTGGTCTCTTGGGAATAACCTCCGTATGTGATTCTATAGTGAGCAAGGAGGACGCTGCTGTAGATAAGAACCTGAAGACAATAATCCTTCTGACGGCTGACTCCGTGTGTGCGTCGGCTTATTTCTCTTTTATTTTTCCTTAGTCCAATCCCAGGTTTCTCTTTTCCTCTCTTTCTTAGTCAAGTCACTATCAAATATATCCGCTTCTCTGTTCGGAGTGGGTTTGATGCACTTTAATCGGATAAACGTCTTTTGTCAGTTCAATGAATTATAGCTTGACGTGTGAGCAGCTCATCCGACTAAATTTTTCTCTCAAAGACATAAAAAAACATCATGTCAATCAATAATTTTGCATTCATAAAAAATACAATCGTGCTCTTTATCCCACATGTGAGCCTTTGACTTATTAATAAATCACTAAACATCTTTTCTTTTCAAATTAATTAACAGCTTTTTGTTGCGTCATAAAATACACTAACCTCCTTCTAACAATACTTTTCAAACAATAAATAACCTCACTATACCCATTTTCCCCCACCATCTCTACTGTCATGGCTACCAATACTTGAATCTTCCAATAGAGAGGTTATATTGGATTAGATTATTTTGTTTCGATTTTTCCAAACAACATTGGCTGAATATTTTTAGTTATTTAATTTTAATAAATAAAATGAAAAGCTTTAAAACCAGTTAAATACTTCAGTTGGAATGGAATCAATAATAATAATCATTTATAAGACATGATGAGACCCTTATCAAGGAAATTGAAACAAAGTAAGCTTTGTAGTAATGATGATGCCAATAAAAACTGTTACAAAGTGAGTATAACCAAAGAATAAAGAGAACAAGACAAATATTGTGGAATAAAGAAATAATTGAGGATAGTCATTAAAAAATATAGATTATAATAAATTTAATATGACTGTTGATATGGTATATTTTCACGAAATCATCAGAGGCAATGCTAGCTATGTATGTGTATGAGTTATTTGCAATTTGTTTACACACCAATAGAAGAGAATATCAAAAGATTGAGAGACAGCGTATAGATAATAAACATTGGCCGATAAAGATATCCGGGAATATCTCTGAGAACATCTTCGGTTATATACATATAGACAACTGCCGAGTCTCTGATCTATGATTATGTATTTCTTCATGTCGGTTCACTTTATGCCAATGACTGCCATTGGTTGCTTTCTGACAAACTGATACTATTTAGTGTCATAGATATTGACATGATGGATTTTATTGACTATTTTTACTCATCCTTGCTGATATTGATTCTCTACAACAACCTAGCTATGATGGTTGAAAAGAAAGTCTACCTATTTTTGGGACCAACAAGAATGTTTTGATGAGAAAGAAAGCTTCTTCTTGATATTATTTGACTTGAAGGAACCTTAGGAAGGTCTATGTGAGTCAGTCACCAACGAAAAAGCAAAACAATGGGGGAAAAATAAATGAAATAACGACAGTGGCGATTGACCTCGGCAACGACAAATCACTCAGCGATAAATTTGCAGTCATGGGGGATAGGTAAGTTTCAGTAATTACACAGCTAAATTTAGTAGATGCAGTTGGCGTGAATGCGCGGATGCATATTCAGAACGGTCATATTCTTATGTCCCTACAGCACAAGCATCAGAAACAGAAGCCACAGCAGTAGCAGCGCATCATCATCATATCGCGGGTAAGACGGTGCCCCACTGTGTGTACGTAAATGTGAATGGAACTTGCTGGCACCCCGCCTGTTTATATTTAGCCACTGTGGGCGGTATAGCTGTCATGGATACGTATCATCGGCATAACTGAGACCCCGCGAATGAATAATGAATCTCAGCTTCATCGACTTTACTCTCTCTCTTTGCCCTCCGCTCATTTACTTTGCCAAACCCGAAGGATATCATTCAGTATGACACACATACGTACACAAGTGTCATTAAATTGATATACTTGACAGATATGTCATTGGAATTATCTCCTCAGCAAATGATACAATCAGAGAAATCATATTAGACATATTGGGAAGGAGTCTAATTGATGCTAGACTTGCTGGTGGTTTTGATTTAACCAGTTAAATGATCAGACCTTGGTGAAGAATATGAAAAAAATTGCTATCAAATATTTTCTAATGACCCACAGCTACAGTAGAATTGAGAGACCCTCACTCCAAGTCGATGATGGCAAACCTTGAGTTAATAATGCACGCACATATACTGTATGCCACTGCATCTAATATGACGTCCCCGGGCGGTACACCGGCCTGGATGAATAAACGTCTTCCTTATCGTCTAAAATAGACTTTAAACTTCATGCATATCTGGATCACAGCCAGAGGCCCCGCAGGGGAGTGCAATCATGTTTAGCACAGTCAAATTGTTGCGATCCTTACGAGTTATGTATAATAAAAATGTTTATTTCGCGAAAAAAAACCTTATAAAAAATTTTTAATATTTTTTTGAATCTCTTCAATTGAAACTCTGAATGCTGGAAAACATTTAGAATATCATGATGGTTGTGGTATTCAATATTAGAAGTAATATTAAATTATAAGTATTGTATTTTAAACTCAATTGAAACTGTAGTTAATGAATCACTTGTTTATTGATTGCAGTCGTACTCAAGTCACATGGCAGTGGACTCACAGAAGCAGATGGAGATGCAGCGGTTACAAACGGAACACTTGAAACGCCAGCAGGAGCACATGATTCAGCATCACAACAACATCCAAGAGCTACAGGCACAGATAACAAAGGGCCAGTTAAGCATGCCAAGTACACAATCTCTAATGTTCTTGCCATTTCTCGAGCAACTACGTGGGCTTCCGGCTTCATCAGCTATGCCGCCTCCAACTTCTACTTCCACTACTGGCAATAAGCATATCAATTCCATTGCTAATGTACGTACAATTATGCTCTATTCTATCTGAAATAGTTGATAAAGTTTATTTTATGCTTTGTTTTCTTTTGATAGATGATCAGCAGTCATCGAGACAATAATTGGACCTCAACACATCTAGGCCAGGTATCGGTGATGGATCAAAAAGAATCATTGCCCACCCCAGTATCATCAGCTGTGGCTCCAACAGCTCCACCTCTTCAGGATCCAGATGCACCGTTAAATCTGAGTAAACCCAAGTCTTCATCGGAAACTCCAGCTTCCTCATCACCGAGACACGAGTCTCACTCGACTGGAGTTGCTGGGAGTAGTGGTAGTGGACAAGAGCAACCTCTAGCTGCTACAGCACCTAAACTCTTTCCCCCTGGTCTTCCTTTGCCACGGAATTACTTGCCAACCCTTCCCTACGCTGGACTACCACCTCACCTAAGTTCTCTATCATCTCCAAGTAAGTAATTATTAATCATGATGACTAGACAAGCATCAGAGTTAAGTGATGTGAATAACTGAGTAAGAAGTGGTGGTTCCAGATGAAGCTGGTGCTCCTGGAGGCTCTGTAGCTGCGTCAGCTGTTGCTGCTGTTGAGAAACATTTTGCCATGCATGGTATCTACAGTTTACCTCCTAATCCCGGTGCCATAGCACCTTCGCCGCAGAATCAAAGACCAATCAAACAAGAACCCCAAGAAGATCAAGACTTTTTATCCTCCTCTCATTGTAAGTTTTTAAAATAATTTTTCAAGTTTTTTTAGAGATATCAATGATGATTTTTTTATAGTGTGGCGTGATCAAGCGTATAAAGTTCCAGATGACATAACGGAAAAAGCGAAAATGGTACGGCAACAGAAAAGAGAAGGAGAAAATAAACCACATATCAAAAGGCCGATGAATGCGTTCATGGTATGGGCAAAGGACGAGCGTAGAAAAATTTTAAAAGCCTGTCCAGACATGCACAACTCAAACATATCAAAAATATTAGGTAAGTTTGATTGTTTTTTAAACAAACAATCCAAACAAAATATTGAATCAAGTATTTTAATGGATTAAAATATTTTTAGGAGCACGATGGAAAAGTATGTCTAATTCGGAAAAGCAACCGTACTACGAGGAACAATCCCGACTGTCGAAATTACACATGGAAAAGCATCCGGACTACAGGTATCGGCCACGTCCGAAACGTACTTGTATTGTGGATGGCAAGAAGATGCGAATTTCTGAATATAAGTCACTGATGCGTCAGCGTAGACAAGAGATGCGTCAATTGTGGTGTCGTGAAGGTGGACCAGAAATGGGCTTTTTATCGCCAGTGAGTGCGGAAATGGGATCTCAGCATCATCCAGCTGGACCTGGTCCAAGTGCCCGTCCGTCAGTATCTCCACCGGCGACACTATTGAATGGTGCTGCAGGACCCAGTCAGGATCATTCCTCATTTTACTATCCTCAAGACAGTCTTTCCCCCACAGACATGATGAACTTCTCGCCTGACAACTCTGGATCCATAAGTGGATATGATGCCAGTCCTCGACATCACGATGAAGATTGAACAGTAGCTCCGGGTCAGCCACTCTGGCAACCCGGAGCATCTAAACTAACTCGAGAACTCTTTTGGTAATGCTAATAACTGCTGATCAGAAGTCTGTGCCATCAGCTGATATGTTAGCACCAGAATGATGAGCTGACCCACTCTCTGATGGTTTCAACTGTGACGATAATCAAAAAAAAAATCAATAAAAGACTTCTGGATATCAAAGAAATCAACTGAGGTCGCCATAATAATGTCAAAGAGGTTGACCAGTGTCAAAATATTTTGTAAGACTGTTTAAGTCATACACAAATGAATACTTTTTTCTTCATTAACCATTTATTTACCCTGACCAAAAACAGAATGCTGGAAGATAAGTAAATTATCCGTTCTATCAATGTCGATAGCATGACATGAAGGGTATGACTTAATAAATAGAAGAAAATGATGAAGAAAAAAGCAACGATGGATACTTAGTACTTATAGTATTTTTATTATCATTTATTTATTGAATCTCATATCATTATCATTCGATAATTGGTGCATCAACAATGCAGAGCGCGACAGTACCATACAGAAAGTTCATTTCAAAGAGGATGATGATCAAAAATAGAGAAAAAAGTTTGAGATGCGTATGAAGAAGAAGAAAATGAACAACAGGTGGACGAGGACGTTTGGAGAATGTGATATATAATACTAATATGTGCCAAATAGGCCACATTGGCTCGCGTATAAATCGCAAAAGTGAAAAAAAAACAAATAATCTAAAAAAAAAAAAACCTAAGGACATTTTTACATCTCCTTTTTCACCTTTTTGTTAATTATATTAATAGTCAGTGCAATTTATAAAAAAAAAACTAATGGATAAATAAATAACGTACCTAATATATAATTTTATAAAGAGAGCCAGTATCCTGATAAAAATCCAAGAGTGGCTTTGACTTTATAAATAAAAAAAAATATTGAATGAAATTCAATATTTAAGAAAAAAAAAAACAATGGTAAAGAACCATGAAATAAAGAAGAAGAATGATATGAGGGCGAAGAATAAAAAAGAATATTAATAAAAAGATTACTAATTAATTAAATAATGTAAAGTCTCAGCTATTTAGGGATATTTGGGATGATGATAGCTTAATGTTGATATTTATTTTATGTATATAATGAAGATAGATTCAACGTAATCTTATTCACAACATATATCAGTCCTCTTATTTTCTAGTGGCTGATAATAATTATTAATATTATTAATTAATTATTAATTATCATAATACGATTATTGTATTGTACAGTGTAATTATATTACTTGTGATGGACGTACATAATCGTACGTGTAATTAATCGAAAAGTAGATTATTAATGAAAAAAAGAAGTACTCATGTTATTAATTATTATTAGTATTAATGATGATTAAAATTTTTTTTTGTTCCATTCATTTCACTCATTAATTATTATTAATTCATTATTAATATTAAAAAGTACTATTATTGATAATAATATTATTATGTTATTATTACTTTTGTTATTTTAAATGTTAAGATTTAACAGTAATAAAAAAGAAGGTTGTATGTGCCAGTTTAAAAAGAGAAAAATCTTTTTCGTTTAATAGACATTGATTACTATTTTTTTTTTTGTCTGCAGAAACACAAAATGATTATTAATGTGCCATATTGCAATTAATCAAGTGCACATGACAAAACTGTTTTTTTATCTAATTATGGTTATTATTGTAATTATTTTTATTGTAGTTATGGTTAAAATTATAATTAATGTTTTTTTTATGGCAAAAAAAAATTTGATAGAACATTTTCACATTAATTAGTGCAGGCTTGACAAAATAAATAAGATGTATGGATTAATGGAAACAACTAATGCAAAAAAAGAATGTAATAATAGCGCATTGTAAATCAAATATTACTGCTGAATATTAACGTGTATTTGAGAAAATAAATTAATTGATAAGAAAAATAATTCAAAAGTAATTGGATTTTAAATGATATTTATCATTATAATGCAATTTCGAAAAATTGGTTAAAATTAAAGTCAAATAATGAGCCGGATTTTTTTTTTGTTAAATATCTTTAAAAAATATGGAATAAATTAACATTATAATAATTGCATCAACTAAATATGAAACCAATTTTTTTAAAAAGCAATGTAAAGCAAAAACTGAGATCCAATTAAAATATTCCATTCACTTCAACACATTTCTAGATGTACGTTGTTGTTACATATATATAAATAAATATATATTATTATAAAATAAATGAAAATAAATGATAACTGAGGGGTGCGATCGGTAACGTACCGTTATATATAAATATATATATAAAAATCTATAAATATAAATAAATAAAAAAATATATATAAATTATATGATTATTATAAATAAATAATAAATAATGATAATAAATGATGAGATAGAAACTGATAATGCTTTTCTGACATTCAGAGTTAGTTGTAGAGTTGAAAAAAAAGAAGTAAAATTAATATTAATTATTAAAATAAATGAATTAAATTCACACATCTTTGTATGTATGAGCAGTGTAAATAGTCATGCAATACATTGGGTCAGTGGAAGTATGTGTGAGAATTGATTTTAATTCATCAAGAGAAAGAAAGCTTGGTCATGTGTGTCAAATAATGAACATTGTGTATGCAAGTGATGCCATTTTAAAATTAATCTGCAATCATTTTTACGATGACTCTGATGTTGAATAAATTTAATAAAGCTTATAAACAATCAGGAATAAAATTTAACAAATGAAAACAAAAATTGAAGAAAATTATCTACAGTAATGCATTTTGAAATAAAATTAATCATCACAGTGGGTCGTAAAAATAATGTAAATCTCCTAAAAATTAGAAAAGTCATAATTAAGAATTTCAATCACTGCATTTTTTTTTAATTATTATTAATTATTGATTAAATAAATAATATCTTAATTTGGTTTTTTTATTGTCTTCAATACTACTTTTTTCCCACGTCTTATTATTTTTGTCTTTCACTTTCGGCTGTTTTTTATAAATTACTTATCTATTTTTCTACTTAATCAATAACTATTATTAATAATTAATACTATTTATAATTATAATCGTAATAATAATAATAATTCGGCTGTGAATAAGGGATACTTGTATTCTTATTTTCTCGACTGAATTAATCAAATTTAATTTTATATTAATTTTTTATTTAATTCTTTTTTTTTTATATAAATAATTATTTGGAAAGTTTCGTTGTTGCATTTTTTATACAGTAATAATATTGTGATTGAAATGATTTTTAAGATGACTTTTCTAATGTGGATAGTGAAGTTCAATGTGCTGTATCTTATTAAAAGAAACAGCGCGACTATAAACATGAATGTATCATTATTATATTTATTATAATATAATTTAAAAGTTAGGGATTCTTTGTTGTTTGTATTTTCCAATCGTAATCATTATTATACATAAATAAACCTCTATATAAATAAAGAAGAACCATTCATTTTTTTTTTAATTTGAATAATGTGCTATCACCAATGGATTTTTTGGATTTGTAATAAAAAATGAAGTGATGTATTTAGGGGGAAGGAAAAATTTATTTAACAATGAAATAGTTGGAGAAAATTACTATTTTTAGAGATTCAGACAAATTTACGCTATTAGTTAGATGAAGAAAATTTATTTAATTAAATCCTAGACTTTTATCTTTTAGTTGCCTCCTTAGCAGATCTCCAACACCTAGCATAAATACCTTTAGATTATTCTTCTAGGAGATTGTTTGTTTTAAAATTTATTAATAAATATTTAAAAATGATTTAAACCTGAACTAGAAGCTATACATCTAAATGAAAATTGTAAGAGTAAATTCATTGATATTTATTTAGGATTAAATGATATTATATGCTATATTAGATGCGCCCAGACCCGTTTTATATTTTATTTTATTGCACTGAAAAATAATTCAATTGGAATTTTATACAAAAAATATTTTCAGTCGATAAAAATGCTTCCTCTATTTACCATTTCTTCGTAGATAAATTAACAGTCAAACAAATAAAAATCTACTTTGTTGACAATGCGATTTACTGTATGTCAAAATAAGTGGCGTGACAATCGCAAAGCTGCCACGTAATGTTTCGTACTGTTTTACAGATTATAGTTGCCAGATAATTCTGTACAATAAAGTAAAAAAATTTTTTTTTCACTTATTGAAAGAGCAATGTTTAAATTTATGTTCATTAAAACGTAACATCAGTGAGTAGAAGACTTCGTGTATAAACTCGAAGAACAAGGTGTGATTATTTAGTTCAAGTGCACGCAACTACTCCTAATCCAATAATAGTATATACATATATATAATAATATCCCAAAAAATTTATATATTTTTACTTAGTAATTTTTGCTTTTTCATACTCACTTTTTCATCACTCCGTCTGCTGTCTTACTACTGACATCTTAACCTTCCTATCATTTGATTGAAAACCATGAATACATTCTACCAAATTTTTGGGTTACTTTCAACTTCATTACAATAAATTATCAATTAATATACAACCAGTCAATAATTTAATAAATATTTCAACAAATTTCATGCTAATAATCCACTAGAAAAATAGTTTACTCTAAAAAGATGATTAATTATTGATGAATACTGACTTGAAAAATTTCTCTTGTAATCTAGAGCATTTTAAAAATGTCACAACCCAGTAGTTATCAACAACAACAACATATAAATGCTGGTAACCCATTAAAAAGTGGGTCACTATCAATAATTAACGGTCAATCATCTTCAGTTCAGCATAATCAAAATGGCAGTCAACATTATAATTCAACTGGTTAGTAATAATTTTCGTTAATTACTCCTTCAACGTTAGATAAGATAGTTTTTATATACAAATTAACCCAACCTAAGCTATGCAAACTCATATTAACACTGAACATCACAAGTTAAAGAATTATTTTAAAAACTAATCTTACTTTTAAGGCACTCCATCATCCCAATCATCACGAGAAACATCTAGGGATCCATCACCAACGCAATACTTTCCAAACCAATATCGCCCGCAGCCACGCAGACCACTAATGCCACCAATAAATGGCCAACAAATACCATCAAACAACTCGCCAATTCTCCAGCAACCACCAATGGCTCCAAGGCCTTATATGTCTCCGGATTCAACGCATAGTGTATTGAATCCACCTAATGTACTCCAAAAACCACCTGGGGGAGTTACTTATCCACCTGGACCCAAACCTCCAACAGAAATAAATAATTCAGTGCTAAATTCGCCAACAAATGATCAGAATACTTCTGGACAGACGAAGCCTGGTGGAGCTCCAGGACTATCGACTCAAATTTCAAGTAGTTCGAATCAATTCCCAATCAATTCTCCAAATGTGCTTCCATATTCCACTGCAAATCAAAGGACTAATCAAGATAACCAACAGTCACCAATGAGTAATCAGCAGAATAAAAATCCAATGATGTATCCTAGCATTCCAATGATGAATTCCAGTTCTCAGAGTCTTTTCAATAACAATTTGAATCAACAAAATCAGCAGACAAATCAACCACAAAGCCAACAACATCAATTATTGAATCAACAAACTAATCAACCTCTAGCTAGAGATGCTAATTTGTATGAAAATCCAACTAATGCTCAAGTTTTACGTCCACCACTGCCACCACAAAGTTCAAACAACCAACCCCCATATGGAAGTCAAATCAATCAGAATTTAGGATCGAATACGTATCAACCTGGATCAAATCAGAATATTTATACCAACCAGAGCTTGCCTCCACGAAATAGGTATCCAGCGTATGATGGAATGCCACCAAATCCTTCTCATCCACCAATGCCATCTAATCTCACAGCTCCAGGCATTCCTGGTGGCATCAAAGACGCGGGCGTTAATTCTGGAATACCTAGAATGCCTGCTGGACCACCTCCATTACCCGGACAACAAATGGTAATTTTTTTTCATCAATCTTTTTACACTTTATGCTTTGAAAACATCTTTTTTTTACTACTTCAAAAGGATTGTAATTAATTTTCCAATTATTGTACAACCTTTTGATTTTTTTTTAGTTTAATTTAAATGGATTTTTGTTCTTGATGGTTTTTTTTTTTTTTAGCAAAACTCGTATGATAGTAGACCACCTTTTATGGGTCAAATGTCAAATGTACCATTGGATAATATGCCACGAAGATACCCAGGCCATTATCCCAATGATATGAATCAATTAAATACTCAGATGGGGAATTTAAGTGTGACTAAAAGTGGATTTAACGACCTGTGGGGTCATCAGTCAGTGGACTTGTTGCAATGTAGAAATGTTTTACCTGCGGAGAAAGTGGAACCACCGAAAATAAAATTGCAACAAGAGTTTTTAGATACTATTAACTGTAGTCCTGAGTAAGTTAAATATTTATGCTTTAAAAATAATCAAAAATATCTAAAAATAATTCTTTCTAATCATATAAATTTCCCAACTTTTTTAGTATTTTAAATTCTTTATACAAATGCTCATTAATGCACTGTCTTTCTTAATCAACAAATTCCATCACTAACTAATCTTATCAACAAACTCAATCATTCAATCAATTTTATTAATTTAATTTAATTTTTTTCTGTCAATTATTCTTTAAATTATTTATTGCAGCATCTTTCGGTGTACTCTAACGAAGGTTCCTGAGTCAAATTCGCTCTTACAGAAGTCAAGATTACCATTGGGAATTTTAATACATCCATTCAAAGATTTAAATGTAAGTAGTATGATAACAAAAAAATTAGTAAATAAATTAAAATTAATTATTTACTCTTTGTTCTCAGCATTTACCACTGATTCAGTGTAGCACAATAGTACGTTGTCGCGCGTGTCGTACTTATATAAATCCTTTCGTCTACTTTGTCGACTCCAAACGATGGAAATGTAATTTATGCTACCGCGTTAATGAACTTCCGGATGAATTTCAATTCGATCCCGTCACCAAGTCCTATGGAGATCCGACGCGACGACCCGAGGTCAAAACCAGCACCATAGAGTTCATAGCTCCAAGCGAATACATGGTAAATTAAATACAGTGAATTATTTAAGAACATCAAAAAAAATGATTTGGAATTGTTATTAATAAAAATATATTGATCAGCTCCGTCCGCCACAACCAGCTGTTTATTTATTCATTCTGGATGTCTCAAGACTTGCTGTTGAAAGCGGATATCTAAATATTGTTTGTAATACAATATCCGAAGAATTGTCTAAATTGCCTGGAGATAGTAGAACACAAGTGGGTTTCCTGGCTATTGATTCAGCTGTACACTTTTTCAGTATGCCTGATAACGTTTCTCAACCGCACGAGCTTATTATGCTCGATGTTGATGGTAAATAAATCTTTTGTTTATTTATTCATAAATATTACGATATTATTTTTAAATCACTTTCTTAATTCACGGTTTATTTTTACATTATTTATTTCTTTATTATAAATAAGGTTAGAGATCTGATTTTTGATCACCATTTGTTTAAGTAATCTTCATTTTTAATTTCTTCTTTGGAAAGATGGAGTTTATTAATAATTTTTTATTTTTAATTTCCCAGATGTATTTTTACCATGCCCAGATAACTTGATTGTTAATTTAAAAGAAAGAGAAGAATTAGTGAGAGATTTATTAGGGCAATTGCCTTCAAAATTCAGTGGAACTCATGACACTTGTAATGCTCTCGGAGCAGGATTACAAGCTGCATATAAAGTGATGGTAAGTCAATTTTAAATTTTTTAGCAAGTCCTAGGGAAGGTACTGAGTGAATTAATTACCATAAATTATTTTTTTACAGACCGCTACAGGTGGAAGAATAACGGTATTCCAAACATGTTTGCCAAATGTAGGTCCAGGAGCTCTTCAGCCCCGAGAAGATCCCAACACTCGTGCTAGTAAAGATGTTCCACATTTAAATCCAGCGACTGATTTCTACAAACGTTTAGCGCTGGACTGTAGTGGTCAACAAATTGCAGTTGATTTGTTTCTGTTGAATAGTCAATACTGCGATTTAGCAACTATTTGTAAGTATTTAATCTCCATGACTGTTTTGATCAACATCAATAATTTTTTATTTTATTTCAGCTGGGATATGCAAATTCTCTGGTGGCTGTATACATCATTTGCCTCTCTTCCGCATCAATAAACCTACCCACAAAGAAACACTAGAAAGAATCTTACGACGTTATTTAACACGAAAGATTGGCTTCGAAGCTGTGATGAGAATAAGGTGCACGCGTGGATTAAGTATTCATACATTCCACGGTAATTTCTTCGTCAGATCAACCGATTTATTGAGTTTGCCTAATATCAATCCGGATGCTGGCTTTGGAATGCAAGTAGCTATTGAGGAAAATTTATCTGATATACAGAGTGTTTGTTTCCAAGCTGCTTTGCTCTACACTTCGAGTAAAGGTGATGATCCAAATTTTTTATTCATCAATAAGTACTGTTTTTTGCATTAATACGATAGAACCTGACTAAATAATTTTTTTAACAGGTGAAAGACGTATCAGAGTTCATACGCTCTGTTTACCAGTTTCTGGTAGTTTAACTGACATTCTATTTTCTGCTGATCAGCAAGCAATCATTGGACTAGTTTCTAAAATGGGTAAAGAATGATGATTTATTATTTATTGATTTCTTGATTAACTTATTCTCCATCAAACAAAGTGTACTAATTGTTATTTATCTTGTATTAAGCTGTTGACAGATCACAGCAATCATCACTGTCCGACGCAAGGGATGCGTTAATTAATGTAGCAATTGATGCTCTCTCAGCATATAAATTAGCGCAATCCGCCATGGATAGTGGATTAATGGCACCAGTCAATCTAAAATTATTGCCTCTATATATTGTAGCCTTATTGAAAAATGTAAGTCTAAATGATGATGATTTTATCAAAGATTATTCAGCATTGTTATCACTTGTCAATATTTTTTTTTATCTCAGGTGGCCTTTCGATCTGGCACTAGTACACGACTGGACGATCGCGTATACACAATGTGTCAAATGAAAACACTACCATTATCTCAATTAATGTTAACAATATATCCGGACTTATATCCAATCCATGCGCTAGATGATCAGAACGTAAAGGAAATTGAAGGCAGATTATGTCCGCAACCACCAAGATTACATTTGTCGGCGGAAAAGCTTGATTTCAGAGGTGCATTTTTGATGGATGCTGGTGATAGGATATTCATTTATATCGGGAAAAATATTGATCCGATGTTTTGTAACAATGTTCTTGGTGTTCCTTCTTATTCCGCGATACCCGAAGAGATGGTAATTATTTATTATTTATTTTAAAAAATTACTCAGTTAATTTATTTATTTATTTTCTAATTAATTGACTATTTAATCATAGTACGAACTACCGGAACTCAACACGCCAGAAAGTGAAAGACTACGAATGTTTTTGTTTATGCTGCAAGAAGAGAAACCGTATTATGCTACTCTACAAATAATAAGGTAACTTAATTTAATGAAAATAAATAAAGGAAGAATGTTTTCAGAACATTATGAGCATTGATAAGTTAAATGCAAATATATTAATTGTTGAATTATTTTTTATAGGGAAGATAAACCCTGCAGGAGCCTATTTATCGAGCGTCTCATTGAAGACAGAACGGAAGCTGCATTAAGTTACTTCGAATTTTTACAACATCTAAAAACGCAAGTAAAGTAGTAGTAAAATATGAATATAACAAATAATATTATATATAAATAAATAAACAAATATGAACAATAATAAAAATAATTGAGAGTCTTTGAACTATTGAAATTAAAAAAAAAAAACAATAAATATGCGTGAGTGATAAAAAAAATTATTGAATCGAGAAAAATATGATAAAATCATCAAGGAATGAATAAAAACCTGGTGATTTGGAGAATATTATAAAGAAAGATAAATTACTAAACACTAATGGTTAATTATTAGTAGAAACAATGGGCGCATATTAAGGAATTAAAATGAATTAATAAAATATAAATTGATAAATAAATAATTTAAAAAAAACATTTATGTATATTTAAAAAAAAGCTGACCAAATCGTTGCAACTGTAGTTATTGTGTTTATATTTAATTGAATAATAATGATGATAATAATGGTAGTAGTTCATTGTTATTATTCATTTATGATAATTAAATTTAATTTTTATTATTTTAGTTATCGTCATCATTGATTATTATTGATTGATATTAATTATTATTTTTAGCTTCTATTTTTTTGAGTGGTTGTTTTAAATTATCTTGATGATTTATTAGGGTTTATTAGGGAGTAAAGTAAATTAGCGATTAAAATATGCCATAATGAATGCTTGGGAGTGTTTATCAAAGACATACGTGTATGTTATACGATGATATGTGTATGTATGTATTCATAGTGTATGAGTTAAGTGAGAGAAATGATAATTTTCAGTAAATAATTCATGTTATCACTTTAATTGTGAATTTTCATTTTTAATTAATTGCTATTATTATGTTTTAATTCATACTTTCATTAGTCAATTTATCATAAATTATTGTTAACTCAATAAATCACTTTAAAAATATTTATGATATGAGTTTTTTATTGGTCATTGTGACTTCTGAAGTTAATTTAGAAAATTTTTTTTATCATATATTAAAAATTCGATTGAATATCAAAATGTATTTTTAGCTTTTTCTAGTTTGAATTTAATGATTGAGTCAACACGATAGTGTGAATTTGATTTTAAATTAAAAAAAAAGATCATTAAAAAATATTTTATCATATTGTTTACGTTAATGAAGACCTATTGAAAGTTATTCAACTAAATAATGTGTGAATGCATCCAAAAGAACATACTTTTAACAATTTCAAATACTGGTTATCAAACTTCCTACGGTCATTTAACACAAGTGATAAGCAATAAAAGTAATATTAAAATTTAAAATCGATAACCAACTGATAGCTTTCAAATGCTTTAAAAAAATTTTTGCATCAATTCGAGAATAAAACTTAACAATAAAAAAATTTCTCTATTGTTTCTCATTATTTACAAAAAAAATATTCCATCGAAGAGAAATGTTTTTTTTTGACTGAATCTCTATAAGAAAAGAGTTATTTTTTCTTCAAACTTTTTGTCGGTATTTCTTACCTTGGTATGTCGATAACATTAACAATAAATGCAACGGCAAATAAATAGGGCAAAAAAATTGTCCCTATAAAGTGAAACGCATGCGTGAAAATAGAGACGCGGTTTGATTTTGTTGTCAGTAGCTTGAGAAACGCCATAAGAAGAGGTTGTACAAGAAGTTTGTTCATCCATCCACTTAGACTCACCATCTCTCTCGAAGTAAGTACCTTTTATCTCGTCTCAACAATTACTTTTATTTATATTTATTTAACTATTACTACTCTAATAATAAGCAATACTTGTTACTTTTACACTTCAATTAATTCTCAACAAATAAAATTTAAATAGACTTTTATTTTTCATTCTTAAGTTCACCTCTAATTATTCAAACAAATTAACAGTAATAAATGAATGATGATTTTATTTCATAAAATCAGGGAAATGAATTTTTAAAATATTTATTAAATGTTTTATTAAATAAGGAAGTATGGGATTGAAGTAAAAATTGATTATTAGATTTTTTATCTAAGTGATTACTTAACTGAGCAGAAAATGACTCTATTATTATTGTCAGGATTGATGTAGATATGAAATATTATTACTACTGTTTTTACCATCATCATAAAAGATTTTTTTTTATCTAAATAAATGATTCTACTATTTTTAATTATTAATAAAATATTAGTTAACATAAAAAAAAATCAAATAAAATTTTTTAGTTGTCCAAAAAATGATGAAAAAATTCGGTAAATAATGGGGAAAAGTGGTGTGATTGATGATTTTTTAATAACATCAATACGCACCACAATAAATAAAGTCCAAGAGATATATGTTTGAAGAAGAATAACAATATATATGTACCTTCACACGTAAGGCTGTCAAGAGAGATGATATAATACTTGTACAATATAGTAAATCTATATGACACCGTAGACAGGAAAAAATGATTAATTATCTCCTGAATCTTATTGAACCTTTTCTATTTCTCTTTAGCTTTTCTCCTCCTTTTATGAGTGTTTATTAAAATTTATTAGTCATAAGTACACATTTCTTTCTAGTATAAGGGAAAGTATCTATTATAATTCCTTTGTTTATTTTTTTTCTCCTTTGTTATTTTCATCCCCAATTCATCACTTTATTTATTCAATCATTAATTAATTAATTAATAGCATTGGTGAAGCCATTTTTTATTGTTCAAAAAATATTATAAATAATAAATTCTTTTTTTTATATTCATTAAAAGTTGAAGATGAATTTCTTTTGTTCTTAAAAATAAAATAAATAAAAGAATAATTTTTTAATTGAAAGAAAAAAAAAATCATTTCTCCAAACATTTTTTTTTCTTTCTTTCTATCACAGTATAAAAAATTTATAAAATTAATAGCAAAAGGGCAAGAATCTTTTTCCTATCGTCGATATTTATCTAACTTTTCCCTTGTTATCTCCTATTTCTAACGATTTTTTGCCTGTTCTTCAGTCTTTATCTTCCACTCTGTTTGCTGTCTCTTTTTTTTTATTTCTCTCCACCAATTATCTCCCTTATTTCTTTTTCATACCCAACATTTTTCTTATCACCTTTCTCCCCCCTCCATTGCTTTATTTTTCTTTCCAACCTTCACTCCAAAATTTTTCGCTCTGACCCTTGACTAATATTGTGACCTTCAACTTAAGGGTAAAATTTCTTATGGTCTTCCCCCTGTTGCGTGGGTGTGGTTCAATCCCAGTATTTAACTTGCCCATATAGACATCCATATATGAATAAATGTATATATCTTAGGGGTCTTTTTAAAATGATATTTTTGCTTTTATTCTCTAGCCAATAAGCAACATTCCCCCTTTCTTTTTTGTCATTTAATTAAAATGAAGAATTAAATACCATTGTTCTGGTGGAATTTTTTTATGAGATTATCAATAAATGAAACTTCGCAGGGGCATTTAATTCCCTTAGAAAATGTTCTTACAGTTAAATCTCAGAGTTTAACTTGTCAAACGTCATAGGGGTTTAAATGTAATCTGTTGTTAAAATTTACATTTGTTGCTCCATTATTACATTTTTATATTGCCTTTTTTATCATTAGAAATGTTTATTATTTAACTAAAAAATTGATTAAATTTGTTTATTAATAAAAAAGAAAAAATTAAAAAATTTCTTGATTGAATGATTTTATATTAAATTTCGAGTTTGTCGTGATAAATATTCAAGAGATATTTCATTGCTTGAAATAACTCTTAAACTGTGTAAAATGCGTTAAATATGTATAAGATTTCGAGATAGAGAATTAAATTCTTTGCAAAAAGATCTCAACATCTTTTTTTGATAAATCTAGTCGTTTTCAGAGATGCACGATTTTTAAATTAAAATACCAAGATATATCTTTCCCAACATAAAAGAGATAAAAAATTCTTTTTTTATCAAACCTAAATATGCTTAAAATATTCTATATTTTATATTACCAACAAAAAAAATTATCCAAGCTAAATAAAAATTTTAAATGAAATAAATAAAAATAATCTAACATGAAAACATTTTAATTACATAAAATTTCACCCCTTTTCAACAACAACCCCTGACTTTTCTTTCCACAAATTTCTAATTAAAACTTTTATTTATTACCCTATTACATTCCTTCTCATTATTTCTTCACTGAAGAAAAATTATTGAACTCGTTACAGTACGTTTCGTCTGCCGGATGATTGACTTATACTACTTAAACATATCATGTATCCAACAGTATTATGCTTTATTCTCTAGAGCGTGGGAAAGATAAAGCGCGAAAATAGTTATGAAATTTGAATAATATTGATATCCATGTATACGCTTGAGTGTAAGTAAAATAAAAAGAGACATTTGGTTACTTTAATACATGCAAAGCTTACTTTGTCTGGCCGGAATGTCCGCTGGCGACGATCGAATATTCAGCTCAGCCTCCGGAGCAGGTTAGTCGGTGAACTTTTGACCCGGCTGCGCCTCCTGTTTTAATCAACCTTTGCGCACAATTATTCAAGTGTGATTCCTCTAATTATAATCCTTATTTAGCCACATTAATCCTCATTTAACATTTGCATCTGTAACCGAATAATTATTTTTATTGTTAAAATACACTCAATTCTTCTCTATTCGATCGTTTTTCAACTAAACTCATTGAAATTCAGGTAATTTGAAAAATGAAATTTAAATTTTTGGCGGGAAAATTAATTTTCGCGCAAAAATTCAAAATTTCAAGATTGATTTTTTGAATGATTAGTGATCAGAGGCTTTTAAGATTGTTTTTCTTTGTAAACTAAAAGCATTTAAAAGTTTTTTTGGAGTAAAGATAAATGCATTAATGAAGTTGAGAAGTTTATTGATCGTGAATCAGGAATTAATTTAATCCGTAGAGACACAGGAATTAACAGAATATTGATCAACTGTCGAGATAAGTTTACCTAAGGCACATGTACGTTCAATATGTATTGGATAAATCGATAGTACAGCAGCCGTTTAACTCAAAAGCCATTATTGTTGCTCATTGATCTTTCATTATCAATAATTCTGGATTGCTTTTGACAGTAGAAATATAAACGTTTTACTGCATTAATTAATCAATTCATTAACTGCTATCAATTCCATACCATATTTTGCTTTAAGCTCTAGTTAACATGCAAGAACATTAGTATATTCATCATATCATTTTGATCCAGAACATCATCTTTTTTTAACTCCAAAAAAAAAAAAAACATCTTGACATTAAAAAAAAAATTCTTATTCAATTTAAAATTACTTTAAACAATACTCTAGAAATTTCAATACACTTTTATGTTTGATATAAATTATTTCTAAAAATTGTTCAATTATTTGATTGAGTCACAAATAAAATATAAAAACCACTAATACCCACTTGAAATGATATTTGTTGATGGAATTTATTCACAATTCATAATCGATAAGCTTTTAAGCTGTGATCCTTTAGTATATGATAGAGAAAAAATTTAATTAAAAAAGGACTTAAAAAGCAAATAAATAATTTCTTATTCAAATAATAAACAAGATTAAAATATTGATAATAAAAACGATAATGGAATGATGAAATATTAAGTACATAGGTTTTATGAGTACGAGAGTACGAATAACAAGGCTAGTGCTTTTATATTGATAAAAGCTTCACTTTACTCACTCTCTCAATTTCTCTTCACCCTTTTGTCTTACATGTGCATAAATGTAATATAGAAAGTTGCTTCTAATGCAATCTTCAAGACAAATGGGAGCTTAACGAGTTTAGAAATGTTTAAATTTATAATGCAAGAAGCTTTTGTTATTTAAAAATATAATATGAATGAATAATAAATATTAAATATCTTCAAATATTTAATTATTCACGACACGATGAATTATGTAGCAGTTGAAAATAAAATATTCCAAGATTGTTGAAACTGTTTGTTCAATATTTTCAATACATATTGATAACTGGTACATTTTTTATCACAATGAGGTTCACAGCTAGTGCAAGAAAATCGAGAAAAGGGTGACCTAAAAAATAAACACATTGGTATTTTTATTAAAATTACAGCTACCACAAAAATATATTGTAAAAGCATTGAAACAAAACATTGTTCATCAAAGAACATACTTAGGTCTTTTATCAACTAAAATTGTGATACTTTATTACAATATTCTTTTCAACAATAATCAAAAACATTCATTTTATGTGTCATGTCGTTAATAAACACTACAGTATGTGCTAGAATGCTTCACACATTTTCATGTGTGTAAAAAATGTCAACAAAAGTGTTACAGTTCGTTGATGGCGTCATTGTAAAGTATATGATTGCGATACGGATGATATTTCATTTCGATTATTAATCTTTAATATCAGTAAAAGTTTTTATTTTTAGCAAGATGTTGATTTAATTGAAAATACTTGTTCTGGAAGATTAAAAAATTTCTAAGATTGAAAGTTTTCGAAAGGTGTAAGTGAAAAGTACACAAGAAAGATCATACTTTGAACGATTTCAAACACTGGCTATTGAAGTTTCAACAATAATTACTGCAGAAGTTATAGGTATGGGAAGTTGAAAGGGCTGCTTTAACTTTGATGATGAATAACATGGTGAAAAAAAAGTCGTAGATTAAAAATTAAAAAACGCAATTAAAGCAGAAGAGATGTTCTATGGAGTTAAAAAAGTTAATATTGATGGAAAGAATTTATTTCAAAAGCTTTAATAAAGATGTACTGATTTTTCTTTATTTCCCTTTTTTGGAGATTCGTTGACAATGTGTGTGTGGATCGATAAGGTGATGCTTAAAGAATGGAAAATGGGTTATCCAAATACATGGGGATTGTCATATCACTGGAAATATGACACAAGAAAATAAGTATTGTATGGAAAAAAAGAATAGAGGATATTTTTAATCAGGAGTAAGTGGTTTTGTTGAAATTCCTTCAACCATTTTTTATTCGTCCTTCGTAATCTATATGAATTTACATTTAATCTCTTTAATTAAATATTTCTTTCCACTAGTAAAAAAATGGGCTTTTTCAGCAGATGCTGTTTTTGTAATTAAAACAAATTGGTCACTGGAAACCACTAGTAAATATTGGTATTATTTTGAAGTAATGGAAGAGAACTGAAAATCCAATATGATCAATAAGTTAGCAGCGAGTAAATAATTTTTATACAATTTCTAGAGAGTAAGGATCAATTTATTGAGTTGAATCGTCATGTTACATAAAATAAGTTGAAAAGTATGTTATATCTTTCAGTCAAACACACTGACGACATTGGAAGGAACAGCTTGAAAGTTTTATCAGAAAGTTTCATCCAATCAAACTGGATTTTGAATTACTTTGAAATATATCGTACATTTTTTTTAGTACTTGCTTAAAATGAATACATTTCACTTCATATCTTTGTTGAAAATTTATTGAATAGACACAAAGAAAATTTTTCTACTATTTAGATATGCTTTTCTTATTTAATAAAGTAACTTTTATGTCTACTAAAGCATAATTTTGGTTTGAAATATTCTAGACATGCTTGGTATGGAATAATTTATTATAAAATAGCAAAACAATACTTTTTCCAAGTCAAATAAATTTTTACAACTGTTCGAAAGAATAGAATGTAATTAGTTGATGACTTTGGAGGTCTTTCAACTATTTTGACCTCTTAAAGCTGAACCTTCCAACATCTAGAGTCTAGGAAATTTTTTATTGTTTGTATTTGTCAGCAAATAAAGAAGAAAAAGCTCTAGAGTGTGAATTTTATCGTCATCATCACACTTGAAGTGTCAATCAAACTTCCATCAACGAGTGTCTTTGACATTATTGTAAAATAAAAAACATTAACTGAATTTATTCAGGCAATTTTTATTAATTATTTTTTTTTTTTTTTTATTAGAAAGAAAGATGAAGTTGGAGCATTGAGAAGAAGATTTGAACTTTAAAACAATTAAAACTGGTTGACGGAGTAAAATAGTGGTCATATAGGAACTTTGATCATGAGATATGTTCATGCACCACGTATTCTTTGAAAGTATAATAAATTAAGTCGTTAAAGTGATTATCAAGGACATCAACTGTCCTCGGAGTCTCTTAGACTCAAGTCGCCACTGTGACGTCTTCTGGAAAATATCATTATGAGCTAATCTAATATAAAGTAGAGTTTCGTGTCCTTACCACCTCTCGTGGTCAATTCTATCGACTAAGTATATAGTATTAGTACATTTTCTAAATTACTTGGACGAGCTTCAAGGATTGATTTTCTCTAGGAAATAAACATCTGATTAATTTGAAATCGACTCTTCTTTCGCTGCATGATACCATTTTCAATAATAATCAATATTTATTTTTTAATGGAAATTTTTCTTTTCTTTTGCAGAAAATCGATGGAGATCAAACTAGAAGATGGGCCTGACGTAGCAACTGCTACGTCAAGGCTCGTTGAATAAATTAAACAATTAATTCAAGCACTTTGGAAATGAGATTATCATTAAATCAAGTATTATTATTCTCCAAGCGAATCCATTGATTATCAGTATTACAATTACTACCATTTACCATTCCAAAATCAATCGGCAAAATAATCATCATAATTTACAAACTCCAACTAAGTGAAATTAAAAATGAATTTCCATTCGTTAGTTTAATAATAAATAAGTTAAATAAAATACGAAGTTAAAGAATTCATTAAAATGCAAGAAAGTTAAAAATGTTGGAGATAAATCATTTGGAAAAGGAGGAAAAATAATTAAAATACTAGAATTCTAACGAAAAAAAATCAGCTGGAATAATTAATTGATTTATTGATGATTAAAAATAATAATAAATACAATAAATAAAAATAGCGAAGACAATCTTACCAAGTTACCTAATTAGAAATAAATATTAACCATTTAATTAAGTGTAATAAGTGTTGAGATAAAATTGAACCAATAATTGAATTTATTAGAATAACCAATTTCAACATAAAAATATTTAATATAAATTAATAATAAAATTTATTAATTAATAAATATCTCAGAAAATATATGTCAACTATTTGTTGTTAATTATAAGCAAATAAAAAAAAAGGCGGAGCGTAAATGTTTTTTAATTTACTATTGAAATAAAATTAAAGAAAAAACATTTCGATATATATATACATATTTAATTGTTGTTGAAAAATTGTTAATTAATCCGCTGTGTCCAAATGAAATCAATCAACTAAAGTCAGTATTAGAAAAGCATCTACGAAAGTAAAATAAAAAGCCAATAAATTTATACATATAATAGAAAATTATTTAATAGACAACGACATAAGGGGAATAGTTGATGAATTATTAGAGTAAAGAAAAATTTTAAAATGAATCTCGAAGTGGAATTAATTGCTGGAGTTGTTAAGGGAGGACCTCCTCCTGCCCACCTGCCAGCACCACGACTTATCAAGATATTCATCGCTGGTGAACGTGATGGTGAGTGTACTTACATCTTATTATGCAATAAATTCAATAAAGTGATGGGAGAATATTTTTACCCTTGTTTTTTTAAGTAATTAAGATAGATTATAGTCATGAACTCTGAAGTGTTGGGCGAAAAGGTTGAGTATGTTTTTAGTTTAGAATTAGCATTATTAATTTATTCTCATGGCCCTTGTTAATTTTATTATGAAATAGATACTTTGAAGAATTTTTTCTAGGTTTTTCATTAAGAAGTATGAAAAGTGGACTGTGCATATTTAGATGAAGGATTTTTTTTGAATAAATTTCGTGCTGATGTGATGGAATATTTATAAAAGTATGTCACTTTGCTAAAAAAATATTAGCATCAATAAAATGTGTTTGTTTGGTTTTTTTTTTTAATTAATTGGTGAAACCACGAAGCACGGAAGCACTTGAAAAATATTATTGGTGGAGAGCCAAACAATCAATTAAATAATGAAATTATGCTGCTCGCCAATTGAATTTCAAAATCACTGACCCAAATGCAATTCTTTAGAAAGGCATTGGCGGATGGTGCGAATATAAATAATTATTTCAACCTTCAATATTGAGGGATGTTATTTCCAGCTTTTTTTAAATTGTGATTTACATTTAATAATTAAGGTCAAACAGACGTTTCATTAAAATTAGTCCATTGTAGCCAAGACTCATTAATGTTAATATCCAAGTTATTTTCGACATGATTTGAATACACTCATTATCCACAGCTAAATTAACCCTCAGGATAAATAACATTAATCAGAAATTAGTTTCGAATATGATAGTTGAGAAATTCATGGTCGTTTCGTTGATTTATATTGATTTGCTGACAAAGGGCTACATGGTACAGTTGTGGATAATGGAGTTGGGGGTTTTTTTTAAAGCTGAGAGGATCTATTGTTGGACAATGATTTTATAGAGAGGTAAAAAAACTGAGGATTAAAAGTTTGATTTAGTTCATCAGGGTTCTGCTTGGTAAATTGAAGGTATTTTTAAAACTCTCGTTTTAAGGGGAGAATTCAAACCACTTTCTAATTCCATTAATTTATCAATAATTTATTCGTTAAAAATGATGATAGTCCTTCATGGTCTAGCCTTAAAAAAAAATTCTTCAACATTACTATGAATCTATTGATTGATTTCCGGTGACTAGAATGCCAGTTTCTCTTTTTAAAATTTCTTTTATTGAACGTTCAAAGACACATCATATAGCTGATTGTTTTTTTCTAGAGTTTCCTGAAGAACGGAAGCTATTGCTGGAATCAATCGGACCCGAGTTGCAATCAATCTATGATGATATGGGAATTGAAGTAATCTCCGATGAATTATTTAAACAATTTTTCTCATAAACAATAACAAATTTTAACAGCAGTGATTTTTATCAGGTATTATTAGTAGACATGCAGTATGGTACAAGCCGAAATCCAGACTCTGATCCCCACTTAGCTGAATTATTTCTAGAGGAAATAAATGCTTCCCACCGACACTCAAGAGGATGCTTTTTTCTCGTAAGCGGATTACGAACATTAAAACCATATAATATTATCCGTTCAATTATTATTCTTATCTTTTATCTTCCTTTTTTTTTTATTTCTCTTTACTCTCAACTCCATGATGCTCATGACACTCTCGTAATATCTCTAACTTTTACAGCTTCTTGTTGGAATGGATTACAATACTGGATGGGTTCCAACTCAATTAAAAGAGGACATTTTTCATACTCTTCTAACTCACTCGTCATCACTCAGTGATTATTATCAGCATAAAGACCATTATTATATTCTAAAGGCCAACAGGTAAGAGATCAATTACAGGAAATATTTAAATTTTATATCTCCAACTTATTAACCTTTTTTTCTTCCGTCATTATTTTGCTTTAAGAAGCTGGTACTATTTTTAAATGTTCTAGTATTCGTGGTAGGTTCAGGAAATATAAAAGTCAGCTTTCTGAGAACAATATCTAAAGATTTATTGTTGGAGTTTGACTTTAAACGATCATATCTTTTAAAAAGTTTATTTTATGAGGAAACTTATTTTTTAAATCTTTTAGTAAAACTTTTGGCTCAATAAAATTTCAAGGCTAACATATAGATTTTACGGATTAATCATTGATTATTAATTACTTATTGGAGCTGATTAAATTTTTTTTCAACTATTTGGAAATTTAATTAAATGATACTTTAAGTGAGGAATCATCCCAAGAAAACTGGCAAGTAAATCAAGATGGTTTTCTTCGAGATATCTTGAAAACTACTGCTCAGTCAGCATTATCAGATGATCCTACCAACGCAGATCTGGAAGATGTGCTCAAGAGCTCAGCAGAACGTCAGCTGGATTACGCATTAAGTGAGTAAAACCTCCAAAAAAGAAGATGAATAAAATATTTTATCGAGGTTTAAAATTGTTTCTAGATCTTGATAAGGAAGGCAAAGGTATCGTGACTATAATTCGACAGGCTGCAGATCCTTCCGAAGTATCTCCTGAATGTCAGAGATTGATAAACAAATTAGAAAGCTCCCTGGAGAAGGATAATATAATAAAAGTGACAGCAGTCAATAAAACAGATGAAGCTAGTGATAGTTATGATGATTATCTTGCTAAACTTCGCCGACAAGTTTTAGACCGACTGCAAATTCTAGTTAATGAGTCTGTTGAAGCAGCTCCTGAGATAAAGAGTCGGAAAAAAATGGTACAAGAGATTTATGCTGAGAGTTTGGCGCAGTTGTCTCTTCTAAGGGAAGTCCATCCAGCAGAGGAAGACGATGAGGTAGTGATGAGGGTGAAGAAACTTCTGATAGCTGGGAAGAACCAAAAACATGGGCCTATTTTCATACACGGTGGTAAATGCAGTGGAAAGTCGTCAATTTTAGCAACAGTCTATCAGAAGGTTGATGAATGGCTGGGACCAACAATGAAAGTAGTACGATTATGCACCGCAACGCCTAGATCGGCCTACAGTCTAGAGCTTCTTCGAGTTCTCTGTCAACATATTGGCTTTCTCACCGGAAGTAATGACGGAAATTTACCTAGAGATGCATCGTTTCACCCTCTGTACTTAAATAATTGGTTTAGTGAAATATTACGGATGATAGAAGATAGTAATCAACATCAATTAATCGTGTTAATAGACGATCTTCATCGGTTACATCCTCTCGAGTCTGATATCTGTGTCGCATTGTCATGGCTACCACTTCAACTTCCTCCCGGTATTTTTTTTATCTTCACCACGACCGTTCCTGTAGACTCATTAAAAATGACTACGATCCAGAAAGAGAGATTCAAACATCCAGATGTGTTAATTGAAATATCACCGAGCAGAAATTTAGTGCTAGATATTGAGTCAGAGCTGGATAAATTGGAGAAAATGGTTGGCTCTAAAGCAGCGAATAGGCTAGGATGTTTTTTAGCATGCACAGAATATGGACTATCAGAAACTGAGGTTCTAGAATTAATTATGCCAACGGGAGATGATGAACCTCTAGAGCTATCAGCTGGACAATTTAATTTCGCTACTTGGTGTCTAGTGCGTCGGAACTTTGCTGTCTTACTTCGAGTTCGAGTGATGAGTGGTAGACTGCTATTTTCCTGGCGTTGGACAACTCAAGAAGTCGCTAGAAAACGGTATCTACCAACGCAGTACGTTTCTAGACCATGTCATTCAGAAATAGCAACGCTGTTCTTTCCAGAGGAATGTGAAGAGAGTGAAGAGAAGTCTCCGGAAGAGCCTGGCACACCACCTAATAAAGAAACACCTTTTCAAAGTGCTCCACAGTCTCAAGATGTCACTTACACTCTCCGACATGTTGAAGAAGCTTGGCTTCATTTACTACGAGCTGGAGATGTGAAAAAGCTTAAAAAATTAGCTGTCTGTGCTTTTGATTTTCTTTTGGCTGCCGTGCAAATGATATCAGTCAGTTATCTCCGATGTGTTTTAGAACATGCAAGGAGATATCTACTTGAACGAGATCTCGAATTAGTTTACTATACCATTCGAAACTCTAGCGACGCTCTGACAAGAGATCCACTTCAATTAGGAGCACAATTGATATCTTGGTTACGACCTGTTGTTGAAGATGGTGGTGACCTTGTCAGTAACATGATTACCGCGGCAATGGCTTGGTGTGATGGATATGCTGCTCCATTGTTGGTGCCGTTGAATGGATGGCTTCAATCACCGCTACCATTACAAATAAAAACACTTCATTGTCCGCAAGGTGTCAAGCTAGTGGAACCTGCACCCTCCGGCCAACATGTCATCGTTATTCCAGCACAAGGAGATGCCCAACTGTGGCACGTGATGTCTGGCCAACTAGTTCACACGTTCAAAGGTAAATAACTTTGTTTGTCAAACTTCTAGGATAATTGAATTATCAACTATTTGCGATATCCAATATATGAATATAAATTAAATTATTTCCTACAGGACACTCTAATCCAATTTCCTGTCTGGCTGTCACTCAGCAATCACAGTATCTGCTAACTGGATCTGAAGATACATCAATCATCGTCTGGGATATGAAAGAATTGTCGTTAAAACGTCGGATATGTGAACACATTGCTCCAGTTTTAACTGTAACACCTGCTCTAAATAATTCAGTGATCGTTAGTGGTGGTGAAGACTCTCGAATTATTGCCACAAGTCTTTTAAATGGCCAAGTTCTCATGAAAGTAGACCACCATCGTGGTCCTGTTACTACAGTTAAAGTGGACTCAGCTGGTGATGTGTTAATTTCAGGATCAGCTGACTCCACTGTTTGTCTTTGGTCCTTAGAAAACTTCCAATTGCTCAATACTATTTCTCTACCTTCTCCCGTCGCAATTCTTGATGTTTCCGTAGACTCCGTATTTCTTTTAGCTGTCTGTGAAGACGATAAACTGTACCTGAGATCTCTAGCAACTGGGACTGAAATTCATAATCTTCGTGGTCATCAAGGCCCAGTTAAAAGCTTATCGATAGCTAAGGATTGCAGAAGAGCTGTGGCTGGTGGCACTGATGGCCGAGTTTCTATTTTAGATATGCACAGTGGCAAACTAATGAGAGCTCTTTCCACTAATTATTCCGTGGACATTACTTGTGTTAAAGTTATAGAAAAAGATGATTTTCTTATCACCGCTGGCGGCAATCGCGTCACCTTTTGGAGTTTTCGTGGCGAGGAATCTCCAAGGTCTCCAAAGTCAGGGAAACATGAGACAATTCAGCCTCATACAGCACCAATAACTTGTTTAGATATTTCTCGAGATGGTGCAACAGCAGTGACTGGTGGTATTGATTCACTTGTCAATTTATGGCAGCTGAATACTCATGAATTGATGCTGACACTCGAAGGCCATATCGCTAGTGTAACATGTGTGGCATTCTCAGCTTCTGGTCTCTTTGCGGCGTCTGGCTCTGAAGATAAAACTGTTCGGGTGTGGGGTCTAACTCTTGGACTCGTCGTAGCAACATTTCGACATCAAGCTCCAGTGACTTCTGTCATTGCTATGCTGGATGGTCGACGAGTTATCAGCTCTGACCACAGTGGTGCTATTAGAGTATGGGCAGCTGATACTGGCACGCTTATTCAATCTGTTTGTGGCCCTGGAAAATGTTTTGCTGTTACATCAGATATGAGATATGCTATCTGCGGTTCTGGCGATAATCTAGTGAAGATTGTTGGCTTGGGAGCAGGTCCAGAAGAAATTCATCAAATCCAACACTCTCAAGACATCACTTGTCTAGTTGTAACTCCAGATTCTCAATCTCTTATCACTGGATTCCGAGATATGAGTCTCAAAGTGTGGCAATTGGCTGGTGGAAAACTTTCACAAGTACTTGTTGGTCATACTGGTACAGTCACTTGTGTTGCTGTCGCTGTTCAAGACCATCGTATCGTTGTTTCCGGATCTATGGATGCTAATCTCATTGTCTGGGATATCAATACCGGCGACGATCTACATACGCTCACTGGTCATTTGAGCTACATCACTTGTGTACGAGTCTCAGGGGATGGTACTTTAGCTGTATCAGGAAGTGAAGATAAAAGTCTTTTTGTTTGGGATACAAAGAAGGGAATTGCTTTGAGCTCAATAATTCTCCATGTTCCGGTCATTAACTTGGAAATGTCTACTGATTGTTCGAGAATAGCTCTACATCTCTTAGAACACAATCGATTACCTATTCTATGTCTACACAATACTCCAGCTCAATATGTTAAACTACCAGCTTATGTTGCTCCTAGAGATTTACGACCACCTGGACCCAAACGACCTGCTAGAAGACTTCTGAAAAAAGAAGTTTCTCTTGATACTTACACTTGGCAACGAAAGTATGGACATTTAACGTCAGGTATAATTTTCATTTTAATATTTAATGTAGAAATTTTTTTTTTATAATGGTAAAATAATTTCTGCAAACTTGTAATTCAGGTATTATGGTAGCTACTGTTGAAGAAAGGCTTAAGCGTCGTTTTAGTGTTAGTGCTTCAATGGAAGAGATTAGCAAAGCTGGACTAACTGGTTCACAGTCAGGTCTCGATCGAGAACAAGCAGCACTTGCGCAATCGCAACATTTCGACCAGCTTGAAGCTCTTTGGAATAAACAATCACCTCCATCAAGACCTCGAGGGCTTGGTAGAACTCTCTCTAAACAAAGTTCTCTTCAGGGAACTCATATATCCGATTCCGAAGAGGAAGAAGGTGAATAATCCGATTATAAATTACAGCTTTGATGCTATTACAGACAATAAAAAATTAATTCATTATGATAAATTTCAGATTTACCAGGCTAAAAGAAATTACCGAAAGTCAAAAAAAAAACAATGGATGTTTTAGGATTAAATAAGTCAAAGAAATAATAAAAATGAATAATAATGATAATAATTATGATTGAAGTGAGTGAAAAAGAAAGGGTAAATTATCTCTTCCCGTATATTTTTGACTGAAAACCTTTAAATTATGACAAATATATTCATATCACAATAGAAATGCAATAATATTATGGAAAAAAATGATTATTTTTATTTATAAAATTATTGAAGAAAAATGATCTATCAATTATTAATGTTGTTAACTGGATCTTTGAAGACAACGCCTGTTACCTAATTTTTTAAACTGTACTCTTGTTATTATTATTGTTTTTTAATTATTTTTAATAAATCATTACTGACAATCCATCCACTATTTAACATTTCATACCAATCATATTATTTATTAAGCAATAAAAAATATTGAAAATCTATTTTTTTTCTTCTATACATTTTTTCCAATTCAAATAGTCCCCTCATGATAATCACGATTCGTCGATAATCATTTATTTTATCGCCTGCAGTTAACAAATTCTGATGGTAAAGTTACCAACGTAGTCGACATATTTATCGACCGTCGATAAAATGTAAACATACTTCTGTCGGCATGATAAAGTTCTGTTGTCAATTTTTCCAAAACAATAGAGTGCATATTCAAGATAAATATTAATTTATGATTTGTTTTTTTCAAGAAAATGGTACATCGATTGAAATAATTGTTTTCACCTGAATGTAAACTTGATATTACATTGAAAATGGCAAAACACCAACGAAAAAGAAAAAAAAGAAAATCCAATGATTTTTGCCGGCAATCAAACAGCAAGGAAAAATTAAAATCTTCTAGTGAAATAAATAATTCAAGGTTAGACAAAATATAATTATCTTGTTATTAAATAAATAGAGATGAGTCTTTTATTTTGTCTAGACGTTCTAATCATCCTTATGCCACAAGGTCGAAAACATTAACTAATTCATTATCAATGACATGTTTTAATTCTCAAAGAAAACAAAAAAAGCTTGAGAGAAGACGATCAGATAGTAGTATTATTTGTCTTGGTACTTATCGAAAAATACCACCTTTTATTGATCTAGAAGGAACAACAGACTGTATCCAGCAAGCTAGGTATGAAAGACTGGATGGTTAATAGCCTTATTCTTGGTTTATTTCTTCTCAATAACATCAATAATTACAAAATTCTCAAATATTTAATATTATTTGTTAATAAAAACATATATTTTTTAAATCAACATGTCTATGTCCATTACAATTAGTTAGCTTTTTTGTTAACAGTTTTATGATGACGAATTTTATAATTATTAATTTTTGTTGGAATATAAGACAACGTCAGAAAAGATGGACTAATACAAGCCAAAGCTTCGATTTCTGTCTTCCCCATCATCATGATCTCCAGCTCTTTACGTTCTTGAGCTGAAAGATACCCTCTTTTACCCAAACTCTTCAATTTATTCTGATCATTATTACTCAAAGGAATCATGGGCAGACACATATTCACCATTTCAGATGGATACACTCCAATCCACTCAATCTGGGGGCAAATTAAGTCACCTCTTTCCCACAACACATTTTTAGATCCATACCTAGAAATCATCATTCATTAAAATACACATTTTTACAGCAGATAAATTTTTTCTACGACTCTAGATGAACTTACTTATAGGAACACATGATTTCAAAGCCATGAGGATCACCATCGACTAGAATAAAAACAGGCAGCTTAAGGTGTTGCTCTAGAAGCTTCAAAAAAATTCTAGTAGCTCTGTCAGGATACCCTTTGCCAGTGATCAAAATGATGGACAAATTTTTTAAACCACTCTCTGTTAGCAATCTGTGGAAGATGGCCTCCTTCTCGACGACGACAATAGCTTCAGCTGTAGATTCAATGGCAACTATTTGACCATTGTTAGCACAACTTATTGGTGGAACTAGAGTCTCATTGCTTCGAGAGCAATCTATTTTGCAACCATTTTCGAACTGAAGTTGAAGATCACCAAAAATTAGACCTTTTGCTGTTGCTACGAAGCCTGAATATCGATAAGAAGAATGCAAGAGTTATTTTTAATGTTAAGACAAAATAAAAAAATTATTTTCCTTAAGAAACATAGTCACCTAAATCCCAAGTAGCACAACTAAATAAATTAGCAGCATCAGAAATAATTCGATCTACAACCAACTCATTGATGAATAATTCCTTAGCATCACCAGCTTTCAATTCATAGAATAAAGATCGTTTTGTTTGGGTTTTATTTGTTAACAAAAGCTTGTAGGCTTTGGATAAAACTATCATCAGTCGAACCATCTTTGTTCTTCCTCTTTCCAGAGCAAAACTTATTTGACGATTTTCTTTCTTACTTTTTATTAACTCCACTTCATTGCAATTATTATCATTTTCTTTGTCTGAATCGTCTTCACTCATGTAAATATCATTCATTTCTAGGACTGATTTATTTAAATATGAAATCTCAGGAATTTTATTCTGATTGATTTGCTGGATTATATCCAGAACAGTCTTTTCAATATTTTTTATCAACTGATTTCTTTATTTTTTTAAGAACAATCATGAAAATAAAATATTAATAAAAAGTAAAAAAAAAACTATTTGAAGTAATAATTAATAATAATCTATTTATTCAAACATTCACCTAAGCTCGGATCTATTAACAACTGGTACTTCCACTCGTTTTATCTTATTTGAAGTCTGTAAAAAAATATTTGTCATTACTTTCCCATCATAATTAAAAGTTTGTAAATAAATCTTATTGGTTAAAAATAGTCTACCAGTAATAATATTAATAAATAAATAATTTTGTTCAGAGAAAGTAAGCAACACCTGGCAGAAATCACGTGCCAAGCTGCAATTTGTAAAGCTCCAACGCTTGACTGATGCCTCTGTCATCCATTCACTTAACATCTATCCCATTTGACACAAAAGGGAACTGGGTTTTTCAATTTATACATAAAAGCAACCAATGAATATCAAATCATCTAAACCCTTTCAATAACATTTTCATGGTCGAATATGGAAATCCTAGGATACTAAATCACACCCACTATTCAGAGTTATAACTGTTACATAATCCAATGAATCCCCTAGCTAGGTTCATCAATAGCTTTCTGAATGTCATCTAGGGTAAATGAAGAGGCTTAATTTTAAGTCAATTATTTACACATTTTAGAATCAGCTGAGTAACTAGACTTGGACTAGGAGTCTATTAAACTTGCTTGACTTTTGCTTCATTTTATCATCATCAAATAATCATTGGCTGAATTTGAACCTACATTTACTTGATGCAGGCTTCTAGTTTTTTTCTCATTGATGTGTAGAGTAGATTCTTGATAATTGATCATGAAATTACTAGTAAATGTAAAACATTTTTATCAGTGACAGACTGAAGGTCTCTTTTAGTTTGTAGTTTAATGAGACAACGTAAAGGAAACGAAGCATGCGACGTTGAGCGTTAAGAAACTCGTCCTTAAAGTCCATCTGCCGCAGTTGGTAATGAAGAATTTGAAAAAATTCGCGGTTGTACCTGCTAGAAAAATATCCAAGTTGCAGCTGCATGTAAAAGCATTAACTAACGTATTTTTGTTTAAAAAAAAAATAATATAATGCTCCAACTTCTATAAAGCCTGTTATCTTTTTCCATTGAATCACTTCCGTTGCCTATGGTCAACACTTGGCGACAAATAAAGTCATAATAAAATCCAACAGCTTAGAGTGACATTGATTTAAACAAACCCATTTTATTTTATAACTTTATGCGATATATAATTTAATAAATATTGAGTGCATAATAAGGTATAAAGATGACGGTTGAATTTAATATCACGACTTTGGTAAATAAATAATGAGACTTCCAATGGATTTCATGTCATGGCGTGTATGTAATTGTGGAGTATAATCATCTTTAATCCGGTTTGGACCATTTTTTTATTTTAGACATGATGATATTACTTATAGAGATAATTTATGTACTCTCTTATTCTTACTTTCAGGTTATTATTTTAAAACCAGTTTAAAAAAGGTTCTTTTTCACGAGTTTGATAGGTTGCTTACAATCAAATTGTAGTCTGAGATATCACTATTCACTTGGTGGATAAAAAATTCCAAGTTGCTGTGACAAAAGAGCTTTCAATTGACTGTGATGTTGATATAAGCAAGTCTGGGGTATGAAGACTCATCTTCAGAAATTTTTGCAGAGAAAAGTAATGATTGGAAATGGCTTTATGACCAGTGTTTAGAATCGCCAAAAGTGTGATCTTTGCAATAGAACACCGAGTTTAATGAAAAAAAAATTCCTCGAGCGAAAAAATAGCCACGTTTATCAACAGGTTTTTGGTTACGGTTCAATTATTACAACTCGTATCCTGATTGAACCAGTCAGGCTGGTCTAACTGACCTACACTCATCCTTTTCATTCAATTCGACTAACGGAACAATAAGAATGTCTCTAGGCAAGCAAAAAAAAAATTACAATAAACAATGACAATTGTTTTTTATTAATAAATGTCTTAAAAAAATGATTTCATTGTTTAACTTAATTTGACTTTATTTTTTAGATGAAAAAATTTTTTGTGACTATTTAAAGTGAGTTATCAATCTTATGTAACGTTTTTACAAGAAAAAATATTTTCCCAAGTCTCACAATCCCGCAGTCGAGAGGCTGAAAGAGTCGAGTGGCCATCCTATTTCAAATCCTGACATAAATGTGCATGTAAGCTCTTCAAGTGTGTGAACACAGCGGTTGCTACAATAAATACAATGAAACCCTCGAAAAATTGCGGTGTTTCTCAAGCACACTCGATAAATGCCACTATTATCGAAAGTTCAGTTCCTATGAGATTGTTTTCACCAAAACGGCATAGATAAGCAATACATGTTTCATAGCTAAAAATCATTCAAAATCTCCAGGAGAATTTTTTTTATTTATTTCATTGATCTTTAAGTTATTATACTGCTTGACTAATTGTGAGGAAATTTAGTATAACGTCTTTGGTCACCTACTGTTTGAGCGATTTTGATATTATCTTGATCTTTTGTTGCAGTGCATTGGAGATTGGATCAATTCTGTTCAAGTTAAGAGTGATCTCATTTTTTTTTTATAAACAAATGATAAATATACTTTTTTTTGAATAGAAAGTACTAACTTTGAAAAAACAAATAATTATTTTATAATTTGAGATAAATAAAAAATTTATTTATAAATAATTTTAGAGCCTGAAGCTAATAAAAATGGAGTTAATAAAAATTAAATTAATAAACAAATAATTAAAGCTATTAAAAATTGAAATGCTCTAAGATTTTTTTTATTCTTCAAAGCAATATCTATTCATGGTAAATTTAAAAATGATAATTCACATGAATGTATAATAATTTTGTAAAAAAAAATTACCTAATCGTAGTGTCAAATATCTCCAGTTCATATTTCATTAAATTCATTGAAAAAAAAATCTGAATTGAATTTATCCGAGCAAGTGGAAAAATTTAGCAAATACGGGTAAAAAGGTATTAAGCTTATTGGCATAATAAAACTAATATTTCCAAATCCGGGAATGAATAAAAAAAATATTCCTCGACAAATGTCATTTTTCATTTCTTCTATAAAATATCCCACAATAAATTTGTCCATATTAATCCGTATAAAATACTTTAAATAACCCCATAACCGACATAAGAAATTTTTTTGATCCTCACATATAGAAAATTTGATGGATCTTGAACGATACACAGTATAGTTTGTGTATGGATGAGATTCACTCGCTTAAATACGCTTATATACGGGCTATTTGAAGCCTCGAGTATTCTTAAGACTGTTTTTTAAATGTATACTTGTTGCACAATGTAATACTATCCCCTTTTCCTTTATGTTACAGATCCTTGGGGTGTCTTAAATGCAAAAGAGACGCGAGAAATACTCCTATATGTATTTTAAATTATTACTTCACACATAGCTTCAATATGCTAGGACTTGAAAGGGCTCAGCTTACAGATTTTAATTACTTCAAATTATTCTTAAGACTTGTAAAGACTAATAAACTCATTTTAAATTTTTCTAATGCACTCGGAGGTGCATGAAAAATTTTAACGAATTGATAAAAAGTTATATGGTGGTGGTGATGGTGGGGGGCAAAGAAGAAAACTAAGATTGGATGTATGTTTGAGAAGGAACATGAAAGGATAAAAGTAAAGTAGAGTAGTATATAGATGATAAGTATCGACAGCAAGGACGCCAGACGTGGCCACTACTCGATCCTTGTAATTTATCGCCCCTGGGTGGAGTAAGTCCACTGAGGAAGCTATACTAGTTATCGGTGAAGGAATTATCTCGCTAAGATGAACCTGACCAATTGGCGAGCTGTGAAATAACAATCTTCATACAAGCATCTTTGGCGAGGGTGTTGAGTGCTCTAATTTTAATGGATAACAATCAATCCTTATCAAATCTACGACATCTTTAACATCAACAACTATTTTTTTACAGCTTTATATTTTAAATAAATAATTATTACTTTGAGGAAAAAATTAATAAAGGCTCTAAAGTGTGTAAATTTCTTAAATAGATTTAAAAAAATAAGTAACAAATGGATTAAGCTGAAATAAAAGAAGCATTTCAACCTCGAGTTATTACTTTACAATATTTTATAAAAATTATAAATGATAGTATTTGGGAGCTACAGAGAGAGAGAGAAAGAGAGTAAGTGCGGCATTTAACAATAGCTTTCAAGTATCTTTAGTCTGTAGTAAACCCTAGTTGAATAGAAAGTTCACAAATGCACAGCAGGAGAGCTTCAACTCTCAAGATTCGCTACTTGATATGAGTGTGTCATAACGGGAACGGGATAATAATGTCTCCCTCATTCAAATCTACTTATTATTATCATAACTTTTAGCCAATATGTTTTTTCAATGCAGTTACTTCTTTAAATCACAAAAAAAAAATTTGTTTATTAAAAAAAATATTTTTTTTCTTAAGAAAAGAGAAAAGAAGGAATAGAAAATTGTTCTTTGGTGATATTGAAGTGTAAAAAAATTTTTTTTTTTTTTTAATGGTAAATGGTAATTTCGATTTATCAAGGTCATCGAGCTTCATCAACATTAAGTCTGGTTCTTATCGAGCTTAACGATGATCCTTAGACCTCGAACGATAGCTCTTCATCCCTCACTGTTAATCCTTAGCTTAAGTCGCGGTGTCAATGTTAGAGTATGAAGTCATTGAGATAAGAAAGAATGCAAAAGACTCACTAAATTACTAGAATTTTATTTTCATTTTTTTTAAATTAACTTTAAACTTAATTAGAGTAAATTATACTTTGTCCCTGCAGGGTAAATATTATTATTAATTTTTTTTCTGGGTGTAAAAAATTATTTGAATAACAAATTTCGTGTTAAATTTATTATTTAAACAAAAAATGAATAAATGAAGTTAATTTTTAACGAATTTATTTAGATATTTTTTTTAAGGGAATTATTATCAAAATCAATCGTCTTATCTGGAGATCGTTAAGTAGGTGATGTAGCAAGCAAATATTTTTCAAAGTAATAACAATTTGTATATATATCTTGTGTGTACACGCGATGGCGGAAGGAAACCAAAGAGAAAACGAACGAGAGAAGAAAATCGTAAATCACACGTTCACGATTTACGAGGAGCGAGGACGTTGAAGTAAAAAGGAGCAAAAAGAATGGTTTTTGCTTCA